AATCATCTCTAGTATTACTTATTATTAATGTTTCTGTTGTTGTTATTTTTATTATTATTATTATTTTGCGTCCTGATTGAAATTTCTAGTTGTATATTATGTGGGGTGGATGAGGAATGCAATACCAGTATACAACTCCATTTGAGTACTAGGGTTGGGTGAATCACACTCAATGTACTATAAGACATTTGGTTAAATATTACATAAGGGTTTCCCAGGAGAGTAGGGAGACCTTTATGTGTACCTTGTTTTTGGTTTTTTGCAAATTTTACTCCTACTCACTATTTTGTCCCTTTTTACTCTGTCTCATGTATCATATTTAGTCAAATTTGTGTGGTTCGCATTCTTTCTTTATCTTAATTTTTAACATCATTATCAACCACATAATCTTACTATTCCTAATTTTCGTGCCACAAAAATAGTAGAACTGGGGAAGTATATGACATACCCGTTCTTATAAATTGTGATTTTTATGTGCAGAGAATTGAATACTCCGTAATAAACAACAGGAAATACTTGAAGAATTTGCCAATGAGGAAATTATACATGGAGAGAACATATATTCATAAGAAAATTGTTGAGTATCTGGATATTCCTGTATGTTTATTAAGTCATTAAATCTCTGTATTATGTGGTTCACTCCACACGGTCCTGTCCAATTTTCAGCATGTTCATATTTTGGCTTTTGTGGTAAAAGTAAATGAAATTTGACAACGATATGCAATAAAAATACATAGTTATATCGCGAATCTAATATTATCAAATACAATTTTGAATGTAGTTTTATTTTATAATGCAATTATAATACGTAGTATTGATTTTCACATCACTATCTTGTAATGAAGTTTATATCTTCTTTTTTCATCTATCCCAAAATAAGCTTTACAAAATAAGCTTTACACTTTTCTCGTTTCCTTTTTAGGGAAAGAATGTGGTTCCTTACATTTTTCTCTCTTCAAAACAAATTCTAACCACACATCTTTCACTTTTTTAAATGGTTAGAATGTTGCATTGAAGGCCTCATATGTCAATACAAGGAGTAATATATTACGTAGAACATTAGATTTTGAATAACTATATAAGGGTCCCGTTTAGAACCCGGAAAATGCTTGGGAAAAAATGAGGATAATGAAGATGGGGGCAAATAAGAAGGGATAATATGTGGGTGGGGGAGGGGTGGTGGGTTGATAGAAGAAGCTAAAGCTTAATTAATTTATTGATTAGAGCTAAATAATCCAAGCACATATCCCCTATGCATGTCCGGATCAATTGTTCACTCCATATATACGTAGTATATTTTTTGAAAGTTTGGAGAGAGTCCTTTGGCTTTCATTGCTGTATAAGGTGTGGTAGGGCCCATAGTAAACAAGTTTTAAGCCATTCTGAATGTGGAAAACATTCTTTAAATGGTGTATTTGACAGGCTTGATCAGCAGCTGTGTACTGGTTGAACTTACAGGTGGAATCAGGTGCTGGAGAAGCATGCAGTAGAGTTCTCACTTGTGTTCTTGTTTCTTCTGCTGCTAATATGCTATACATTGTGACCCTTTAACGAGTGAATAAAAAACACGAGAAGAAGACAACTCGCCACCCACTGCATTTTTTTGCCTCCCTGATCTGCAGTTCAATCCTCTCTAAGCTTTTGTGTCCTGCGGTGTGGTGCAGTGGTAAGAGATTAAGAGGATGAGAGGTACTACTTTATTAGGTTTGGATGTAGTGCTAAACTTATTGTTTTATTTTGTTGTTGCAGACTTTTAGATGTCGGCATTTGGAAACAGCAAAGAAAGAAACATTCCACTCGTGGCACACCAAGATAACGCCTTTCATATCTAGACATCTTTCAACTAAATCTTTTGTGAAGCCAAGGAGTCCATGCATCATCCAACACAGAATAGTACCTGCTGATTTTATAGAGCAACCAGACACTTTTTCTTGACTTTGATCCTTTAAATTTGCATAGGCTTGTTCGGTGTTTACAAGGTCTTAGAACCAAATCATTTCTGTTATTTCTTTTATATTATGTAGGTCTTTTTTAAATCTTGGAGGGGCATTGGTTTGGCCCTCCCCTCCCTTTGTAGTTTGTACCTCCTTTCTCATTTTAATAAAATTTTCTTCAATAAATACATAAATCAATGTGTGTGTGTGTACGTATATGTATTAATGACGGTATATTTAATCATAGAAAATATAATTCTTATTACTAATAATTGTATTTATGACGAGATTTTTTATCATAAAAAGAGCATTTGATGAAGGTAAAAGTACTCTCATTAAATAATTTTAATGAGAGGACTTGTAACCCGTCATTATTTGTAATTAACTACGGAGGCTATAATGACGGTCGATGAGAGTAAATTTCCTCTCATTAAAATATTTTAATAACGGTTTTTTGTATTTTAACTACGGTTTCTACTTACATTAAAGGACATTTTTCTGGTAGTGACCGTCTAACCATGTTTGGATTATTCTTGCCGACACAGGTACACCCAAATGGCCACCGAGTACTTGCCCAGGTAGTTTCTAGAATGAACATTTGACCACTCGAGGATCCCCATGTAATGTCATGCTAGTTGACCGGGTGCCCAATAGTCACCCAGGTGCTCTTGGTTGAAACCCACCTTGGTAAGGTACAAATCCACCAAACAACCCTGCTGCATGGTACCTAGACTTTGCCCGGGTGGTCTTGGTTGAAACCCACCCGGGTAAGGTACAGATCCATCCAAACAACCCTGCTTTATGGTACCTGGACTTTCCCCAGGTGGTCTTGGTTGAAACCCACCCGGGTAAGGTATAGATCCACCCAAACAACCCTGCTGCATGGTACCTGGACTTTGCCTGGGTGATTTTGGATGGGCCCGGCCTTGGTCATGGCCTGAGTGGCTTACACTCATCACTATTATTACTATTATTATTATTATTACTATTACTATTACTATTAATATTATGATTATAACTATTATTGCTGTTGTTATTTTTAAGGAGCATGCCACATGTACCCCAAAATTTATACCTCATTTGTACACCAAAGGTATGCACCAACATTTTGATGGTTCAGACTGACACAAAGTGTTGGTGCGTTAACAAAAATTTACACAGACACAAAGTGTTGGTACCTTAACAAAAATTAGCATTGTACCAAGCCACCAACAAAAAATGCTGGTGCATCTTTGCGGTGTACAAAATGGGGTACAATTTCTTAGGGGTACAAATAGCATTATCCTATTTTTAATATTAATGTTATTATTATTATTTGTTGGAACACGTGTTTATGCTTATGTCGTTTTAAAGCCGTGTTCATTTGTGATAGGTTTTGATAATGCCAAACCGCCACGAACATGAGAAGACTTTAAACACACAAGGCGAGGATCTTAATTGTCAAAAGAATCCAAGAATCAAGAGGAATGAGAACCAAGAATGAAGACTAGGACTTAGAATAGTAGAGTTGATCTAAATTGTGATCAAAACCGACCTCGACTTCATAACTTGGCTTTCTAGGCTAATTTCATTAAAAACATTTTCATGCATGACCAAAATCACTTTCATAAGTTTTTAATAAGCCAAAAACACTTGGAGGTCGCTCAAACCGAAAACCAAGTTGTTCGGCGTTCGGCTTTCAGAAATCACGTTCGGGTTCTTGAGACAGGCGTTCGACTACGGGTTATCAGTGTTGGTTTTTGGCATCCGAATCAACCAAGTGGTTTTCAAGATTTTTTTATTGCATTCTTCCACTGGGCGCTTTTAAATAGGTCTCCAACAAAAACATGTTAAAAACCACCTTTCAACTTTAGTCTTTTGGCAAAACCCACATAAAACGGCATGAACTTGGTTAGCCGTAGTTTTCACCTTAACGACACGGTTTTTAAGATTTAAAACCTGTTTTCTTACTAAAATACATCAAATAAGTGTTTCCAACACTTGATTTTTATTTTGGAGAACTTTGGTTTTTGGCCCGACTTACGACGTTGACTGGCTAAGCCATGGTTCTAGCTAACCAGCCTAACAGCGATGTTGGCTACCCAACATTGATGTTGGCGCTGATAATAAAGACCATGGGTTGACACAATGAACTTCAACATCGATGTAGCATGTTGAACATCGATGTTACACCAATAAGCAAAATTCCCAGAACCAGCTTGAACATCGATGTAGTGGTTTGTACATTGATGTTTAGCCTTCATGTTCAAAACCAACTATGACAGAATGAGTTTCAACATCGATGTTGACCTCTCCAACATCGATGTTGGGTGATGACCATTTGAAAGCATTAAAAGCCAAATATTTCCTTGTTTGAAGTCAACCTCTAAAACAGCGATATTCACCTTCTGAACATCGATGTTAGGCCAAATCCTGCAGATTCCAATTTGTTTTAAACCCCACAAATCATGCCATTCACCCCTAATCAAAATTAGTCCGTTGGAGCCTATTTCTCCACTATAAATTGGGGTGTTTAGGGTGTGCATTTCTTATCACAATTCTTCACATATATTTTCATTGCATTACATTTACATCATTTTCTATAGCTTTTGAGAGCCAAATTTGTGAAGTTCTTGTTGTGATCTTGAGCGTATTATTTTACTCATCAACTCTTTTGAGACAGTGTTATTCTTGAGTGTTTTAATGTTTTACACACTTAGCAAGTGTATTGAGGCTCGTGGGTCTCGAGTTCTCAGGTTGTAACGGTTTGTTAAGAACCCGTAAGCTTAAAGGAAGTAGCGTAGCTCGAGAGAGTCTCTCGGGAGACTGGATGTAGCCACATGTTGTGGTGAAATAGTGTAGATGTTGGTGTGCTCCCTTTACGCTTTTCACGCTATTTACTTTTCACGTTATCATTTTTTTATTCTTGCGACTTTTTGTTTAAACTTTATTCACCCCGCCTCTAGCGTTAGGACCTTTTTCTAACAATTGGTATCGGAGGCTAACCCTCTTCCAAACTTAACCGTTTGAGAGGTAAAAGATAATGGCTTCTATTTCTACAAATTTGTACGCAGGTATAGGTGAAGGGCAATCAACCACACGGCTACCTCTTTTTGATGGAACCAACTATACATATTAGAAGGAACAAGTGAGAATCTATATTCGCTCCACGAACTTCCAACTACGGTTGGTCATCAAGAACGAGGAAGAGGTGCCGATGAAGAAAGTTAAAGACAAGATGATCCCCAAGACCGACGATGAATTTGATGTCGAGGACATCAAGAAAATAGAAAATAATGCAAAGTCCATCAACATGATCTACTATGCAGTCAATCCCGATGATTACCGAAAGATATCGTGTTGTTCTATCGCTAAGGAAATGTGGGACAAACTAGAGGTCACCTACGAGGGAACTGACCACGTAAGTGAAGCTAAGATTGATTTCCTAAAACAAGAATATGAAATGTTTAGGATTAAGGAGCATGAGAAGATCGACGACATGTTCGACCGGTTTTCAAAGATAGTCAACGATCTTCATGCCTTGAAGAAAACCTACACCTACAGGGATCTTGTGAGAAAGATCCTACAAAGCCTGACATCCGAATGGCATTTCAAGGACAATGCCATCTATGAGTCAATTGGTATGTCCAACATCACCATCGATGGTTTAAGAGGTAATCAAAAAACCTATAAATCTACTATACTTAACCCATTCTTTGAATGATCAAAGGAAAGGTATAGCGCTCAAAATCGTCAAAGAATTGATGGTGGATGACTCAAGCGGTAACACCCTCCGTCCCACGAACCCGGTTCACCGCGGTCCAACGAGCCGGAGAGGTCACGTAGACGGTTTTTAGGACCGTCCACAAAGAAAACTCCTTGCGTTGCTTGTAACTGAAAACCCTTGCTATATTTTATTAAATGATGAAAATGAATTCACTTAAAGAAATGTTTATAGCGGAAGTAATGTAGATGAAACCATTAAGTCATAAATAACATAAGTGCGACAAAGGTGGGTTCATGCCCAAAACATTTCTCATAATTAAGTAAATAATTCATCCGGCCCGCACTGTCGTTCATCCGCTGCCTCGATCACCCAATCGTCCGGGTCAGGCTCCATGGTTCTCTTGCCTACTTGCGTATAGCAAATGGAAAACAATGCTATACGCTCAGCATAAGCTGAGTGGTAATCTAACAGTAGAACACATAGTACATTCACATTGATATAAACGTAATCATACCTGTACTAAGGTACGAGATACCACGAGCAAGTTCGATCAACAAGATATGTAACGATGAACGATGCAATATCATCTAATCATGATGCATGAGTTAGACTGTGCAGGACCCCCTTCCCTTCGGTGATCATCCCCACGCGGTAGATGAGCCGAGGAACGCCTTAGTCATCCCGATGGAGACTAGAAATGTGGGTGATAGCTAAGCCTAGCTACCATGTACGTACACAAGCCCTCGTGATGATAACCCGTTGGATCCCGCAGGTTCCTGGACGGGCCCACGGAAGAGGCGCACTGGGCCTGACTCCTTGCCGTGGTATGCAACATATGCCATGATCCTACACATGCGTCTAGGATATACATGATGGTATGAATGCATTGATTGGAGAATGAAGTTATATTCAACACATACAAATATATTTGATTCCATATGAAAACAACTTGTCCAACATGGCAGACCTGGGTTCAGAACTCGCTGATAATCGATTAACCACAGCTGATAATCGATTATCATGTTGTGCAGTTTCTGTTCCCAAGTTCCGCAGGCCATGATAGTCGATTGTCTTCTCATGACAATCGATTGTCAAGTATCTTGTTCAGGACACCCAAGTTCAAAGGGGCCTGATAATCGATTATAGCTATGTGATAATCGATTATCAGTAAAACCAGCCCAGACTTGAGATTTCGCAGGGCCTGATAGTTGATTATCACATATGTGATAATCGATTATCACGCTCAGCCGATTCCAACGCAAAGTTTAGCGCAGCCTGATAATCGATTGACCAGCTCTGTAAATCGATTATCATGGCTTGCAGCTCCACGTTTAGCCAGTTTGAATATAGTCTTTACGTCGGAAGTCATCGGGATGAACGTTATTGCTTTCACTTTGAATAAGCTATGAAATTATAGATTATCAAACGTACATATTAGCGAGGTTATAATTGAAAAAGTCTAGTTAACGAATGATTATGATAATGCGGACACACGTATGTTTAGCCGGGTAATCCTATGAATATAACGATGCGATTACACTACGAATTCTAAAGTTAGAGGGCAACATACTCACCTCCAAATGTAGAGGTTAACGATAACGGTAGCGGATGAATGAATGGCTAACGATCGAACAACGAACGGACAGCTTCTCGCGTGAACTTCTCCTTCTCCTCCTCTTCCTTCCCCCCTCGTCTCAGCGCCGGAACACTTCGCTTGCTGCTGCTGCTTGGCCGAACAACGCAAGGGAGAAGGGAGTGGTGTGTGTGAATACTTGGGAGTTACAAATGATGGGAAAATGAAGAGGAGAGGGAGAATTATATTGAAGGGAATTTAATGGGAGTTAAATGGGAATTAATGGGGAAATCATGATGGGGGTTAGGGGAGGTGGAGGTGGCGTATGGATTGAATGGGGAGGGTACCTCCCTTAAATAATTCCGTTATGTAAAAGCTGACCAAAACGGTACGCGCTTTTCCCCCCGATCGGGTCCGAATTGAGATCCATTTGTTTTTCTAGAATCAGACAGTCAAGACAAATGTTATGACGTGATTAAATAACTTTTCTAAGGAGTTTATTTTCCCAACCCCGGTCCGAGTTAGTAATTAGTTAATTAAATTAATCAATTCTAATAGACCGAGTCTTAGGGCATTATAGTTATCCACCCCTTAAGAAAATTTCGTCCTTGAAATTTACCTGATCATTGGTCATTGAAAAGATGGGGATAACGGGTGCGCATGGATTCCTCGGTTTCCCATGTCGCCTCCTCGACGGTGTGAAAGGGATAGCCTGAGGTACAACATTTGGTTGCATGTTGGCGGCGGAGGTACGTACGTCCCAGCCATCTGCTGGAGGAACTGTAGCATGTTGGCCGCCAGCTGCGGCTGTAGGAAAGGGATAGCCTAAGGTACAACATTTGGTTGCGGAACCTCCTGCTGCGGGGTGAAGCTAGACGCCTCGGTATGCACGCTCACGTGCTCCTGCTCCCCATGCGGGCCAGCTTGTCCGTGTTCGGGAGCCTGACTCATCTCCTTTCTGAAAGGAGATTTCCTATACGGGTTAAGAAATAATAATAATAATACCTAAATGATAATGGTTACCTTTCCCGGTGGAGATACGGAGCGGGATGCGACAGTGTGATTGGCGTGTCGTACCACCTACAAATTAATTTATAATTTTCCTTAACTTAAATCCCCATTTATGAATTAATATTAATTAAAACATATAGATAGGGCAAGTAAGGGTCAATCCCACGAGGAAAGATACTTTTTAGGCTATGAAAATCAGTTTACTTTGTCACTTTTATTGAATATAAACTAACTAAAATCTAAAAATTAAAACTAAAGGATATGGGGGGTTTGAATGATAAATTCTAAAAAGATAAAAATGCAAATAAAATAAAGATAAAGAATATTAGATAACAGATACGAAATGGAACCGCAGCAGCAAGCCAAACTCAGAAGCCACTCAGGGAGAAAACAAACACACAAAAACAAATCAAACAATAAACTTTATAAAATGTAGACAATAATAATTAACTTAAACCATTTTGAAAATACTTATAGTTTTTAATAGAAAATAAACTTAACAAATTTTATTAACTAATTAATTATGCCTTGATTCCGAAATTAAACTACTAATTAAACTCAGGGTTAGGCTGAAGAAGAGATCCACCAATGGTTCTTCCCTATTTTCCCATTCATATTAGCTCATGTTAAGACCAACCCTAACTCTAAACCCTACTATCCTTAGCAACCCAAAGACCAACCCTTAAGTTACTACTAAGAATAGCGCATTAAAATCTTTGGAAAACATCACCGTAACAACTTAAAAGTAACACTACGGTTATTTAACAAAATCAGTTCGAGAACCTTGATCAGCAAAAACCACTTAGCGATGCAGCAAGTACTAATCAAGTGACACTTGATTTCTAGAAAAGTTCGGCTATTTAAAGCACTCTGGACTTTAAAAGAATATCAATTTAAACTGGATTAGGCGTGCGTTCCTAATTTGGTCCAATTTAAGTAAAATCTGGTGAGTAATAGTTATCAGAACACCTTTTTGAGTTTAGATTTAACAGTAGCATAGAGCTAAAATTCCTTCAAAGTCAAATTAATTCAACAAACAAAGATTCAATCTTTTTGTCAAACAATTTAGCCTAAGAAGGTTTTATAATTTCAGAGACAATAATAAATCAACAAATCACAATTTGAACAATTCAACATCAACACACAAACAATTCAACACTTATAATATAACTTAAACATTCAACAAACATGAATTGAAAATAAACATATTTAAATAATGGAAATTCAAATTCGTAATTTGGAAATTGACAAATGGGAAGATCCTAATTAAAAGTTTGAAGTAAAATTAAAAGTCAAAGAAGCTCCCCTGAGTATTGCTCCTTCATCCGTTCGCTGCCAGAAGGACGCCGGATTCCATGGCCGAAGTGCCACTAGTCTTCGCCGATCCTAGTTGTTTTCTCCGGACCTAGGGTCGAAACCCTAGGCCGGCTCTTCGTATCCTCTGCTCCGATCTCTTTTTTCGTCTCTGTTTTTGTCTCCGTATCCGCCCTCCTGCTTTCCTTTCGGTTCTCTCCTTTAATAGATTTAGAAGTCAGCTCCTCTTCTTGAATTAGGACTCTATGAGGGTGTTTGGCAATGCGCTGCTTTTAACAATTTAGCTTCTGCTTTGAGTGGAAGTGATTTTACTCTGTTTGGCATGTCAGCTTCTGCTTTTCACCAACATTATTTTGTACATGGAACACCGTTTCGGAGAAGTAGGTATGAGGTGCTTTTGCTTTCAGCTTTTGTAGAAATCACTTTATCCATAAGCTAATCATTCCCAAACACCCTCTATTTCCCCCTTATTTGAGTTGGAAAAGGATCCTTCTTGCGTGTGTTGACCATTCTTCTCCCTTTTTTTATTTCCTTTTGTTTGCTAAATTGGACCTTTGTCAAAGTAGAACTTGTAATGAGATGGTAAATTGAGCCGCTCCAATCCAAATTTGAAGTGGGATTGAACTTTGTTTTTTCACTTTCTTTCATTGTTTTTTTTTTACTTCAAAATATATCTAAAATATCTTATTTAAGGAAAATAACACTCTAAATTAATTATCAAATATAATATGCTTAAAATTATACATTTTATGTATAAAATGCAAACGATAGCCTAAAATGCTAGATATTAGAAAATATGCTCATTTAGGTATAAAATGCATATTAAATATATTAAAAGTACTAAGAAATGAGAGAATAAAATACGATATTTTGTGACTCAACAAATACCCTCACACTTAGACTTTTGCACGTCCTCGTGCAAAGTAGACTTTGACAATAGTTTTTTCTTTCTTTTTGTTGATTTTAAATCTCAACATAATTTCTCTATCTTAAAACAATCTAAAGTGTTGCATGCAACATTAACTAAAAATTAATCATGTACCAAATAGAATAAACACTTTAAAAATCAATTTGCTAATTTAAAATTTAAAAGAATTCTTTCACTTCAAAGCTAAGTAGAAATTATTTTTATGTAATGTCAAACTCTTAAATTAATTAAGGCCATTAAGAACAATTTAAAAGAAATAAATAGATCAGCAAAAATTGGTTAGAAATCCTAAGAAACACTCAAGTAAAGAAAAGCTCAAGAAATTTATTTTCTTTTCCAAAATTTGGAAACCTTTTTTTTAATACTTTCATTCAATATTTAATTTTAATTGTTTGAGTTGACCCGTGTAGCGAGTTTCAACCAGGCTACCCCAGACCCATTCCAGATAGTCCAGGACCTAAATAAACAAAGTATTCCGAGGGTTTCAACTCGAGTGCTCAAACAATATTTTCATACATTTTTTAGTTTTTTTTCTTATTTTTACCTAGCCATTTATTGCACTTGTTTTTTTCTTTTGGCTCAATGGCGTCAGTTTTTTTAAACTGGTTATGGACGAGATTCGTACGGCCCAAAATGGGGTTTGCTCTTCCAACTCAGTTTTTCTCCATACACAACATCACTTCTTTTTGGGATCTGTTGCTTAAGGGGACAAAGGTGTCGTGCCACCCATGCCAACCTAAGATGGTGTTCCAGTATATATATTTAATCATTTCAGCATCTTGATAATATGCACATAACCAAAATTTAGAAAAAGAAATTTTTTTTCTTAAGACTAACTTTACTTGAATAGAAACTTAGGACAAAAAAGTTTGAAAACTGCTCCATATATTTCTAACTAAATTGTGCACATCGAACTTAACTAATTAAAAGGTATGAAATTAAACAAAAACAAGTTCTAATCAGATTTGAATTAAGAGAAATGATTTAAATTTTAAAGTAGGAACTCATTTTTAAAGAAATTCAAACATATTTGTTACAAAATTAATTTCAATTTAATGCAAAAAAATGCAAACATTTAAGAATGCTAAAAGATTAAAAGAAACTATAATGATTTCTAATTTTTCTTGAAATTCTCTTTTTCTTATATAGATTTTCATGTGAAAGAATATTGTTTTCTTCAAAAACTTTTAAAAATTTTAATTTTTTTATAACCAAATTGCATCTAAAATGCTAAATTTGACATGAAACGTCTTTTTTTCTACCCAATTCATGCTCCTAGTATGTGTATGAAAGCATGCAAACAAATTTCTTCCTAAAATATGCATAACTAAATGCAGAAGCGTCCCCCCACACTTAAATCATGCAGTGTCCTCAATGCATGTAAATGATATAAAAATGATGAACGTATGCACATACAAGATGAAACAATTAATCAACATGAAACATGTAGAATCATAAAACAGATGCGAGATGATGGGGAAGGCACCATAAGATATGACAATTAAGCATGCAAGGCAGACAAAGTGCAAGTAAAGATGAGAATAAAAGAAAAGAAAAGAAAAGAAATGCATAAAAGTAAAAGTCTAAATATCTGGGTTGCCTCCCAGAAAGCTGCCCTCTTGTAGTGTCTTCGGCTAGACCCTTATTTTGCTCGGGACAATATGCAACATCCATATTGTGTCTCTCCAACCACCTCTAAACTTACTCGCCAGAGAGTAGCAACTTCGCACCAAGTCAGTAACAAAATTGTGACCTTAAGCTCAATAAAGAATTATTAGGAGAAATCAAACAGATCCCATGCATGCTTAAAAATGAATGAATTATTTAAATAATTTCTGTTTAAATTGACTTTTAAGTTTGATAACCAGGGAGGCAAATTAGGCTCAAGTTTAATACGTTGTGATCTTAAAATTTTAACTCGTACTTTCAAGACAAGTTTAATGTCATACAATCTTGTGTAATTGCATCAGCATAAGTATTGTAAAAATTCATATGACAAGTGATATTACTAAGGCTAGCATTCCCTAATGAATTTAATAGAGTGAACAAAGTTATTAATGCCATTTAAATCATTGTTGGCCTCGAGCAAGGGAATACTCCTAACATGACCAAACATAATCAAAATATCAATTTCTGTGAACATTTTTTTTTGAACATCTTTACGACAAATAATCAATTAGGGGTGCTTTCTTGTTATGAAAACGATTAAGTTGTTCTAAACTCAAAGTTACTCTTTCCATTTTTGTAAGCCTATTGAAGAAGACCTAGTTCCCCTACATCACACAATTAGGATCACATGGGGAATGAAGATTTGCAGCACTCACCTGATTATCCTAATGCCCTTAGGATTGAAACAATGTTCTCAAGCAGGATCATAACTTCGGTGTTAGAATCTGTGTAAGCATTTGCACCTAAAAAGTGGAGCTTTGTCTGCAGGGGAACTTGATGACCATTTTGTAAAGGGTGTGCACCTGGTTCTCAGCTCATAGCACCTTAAACGGCCACAATTTCCTCCTCTAAACATTTTTGTTCATTCTGTTCTGGTTTTGCTCACTTCTCAGTTATGTTTCACTGGGTTCGTTCATAACAACTCCGTGATGAATTGCTCTGGCCCGTTCAATCAGATCTGAAATCAAGTTCTATTCACATGCCTTTTAGAAACATTTGAGCAATAGATTATTTCTAACCAATAATATTGATGCCATTAAATCTAGAAGTGGGAGACAATTTGGCACAACCATAATAGTTAAAAAGAAATCCTTGGTAGTTGTTTAAAAAAATTGGCAGAGTTTCTTAAGTTTTCGTAAGAGTTGAAGCTTTCATACATTTTGAAGCCAATAAACATCTTATGATATAGAATTCAATCAAAAACAGTTCTAGTAAACTCTCATCTCGGGGAGAATACCAACGATGATCAAATAGATTAGAATATTGAAATAGAGATGAAGTTGAAAGCTTAGTTAACAAAGAGAATGCACATTTAAAGCCATAATGCCTAATGAGGAAAAGATAGCTTCATAAGCTACATGGTTCTGAAAGTAGATCTGACAATATCGTTGAAGAACCACACTAGCCCTTACTAAAAAAAATTAGCTCAATTCTTATCAGACAGTCCAACAGTTGTGAAAGGTTTGGAGCTGCAGAATTAAGATTTAAAAACTAAGCAGAACTGGATTCACTTTTTTTTCTCTTCAAAAAAGATTAGCAACCAATTTAAAACCATTTCATTCAAAACAACCCCAAATCAAGTCACAACACACAATCGTAGGGTGCACTTCCTTTTGAACTCTGTTTTGAAAACATAGAAGAGAATAAAAGTGTTCCCAGGCATAGGTTCTTTAGGAAGTGATTCGGTGTCTGAAACTCAACACTTTTTTTTTGAAAACCTGGTTTCATAAAGTTAAAAAATACATTTTAAAAAAATCATGTTTTGGAAGGAGGCTCATCTAAACACATAGTTTGGAGTGTTCATTTCAAAAGCTGGAGGCAATGTTTTAGCGCTACTTCGTGACATGCATTTAAAATTATATGAAAAGTGAGAAATAGAGAAATACCTGCTCAACTTAGCACACCTAGGTGGGATCACTACCTTACCGTAAAGCATATCCCAATTGTGTGATCACTCAAAACCTTTGGCACGGAGGTCACTTGATCAGCATATACATAGCACCAACATACCCATCTGTTTCGATGTCCTTTTTGTTGGGTATAACCGAAGGAGTTCCTAAACAATACATTTAGTGTTAAAATGTAATTTGTTTAGAGGTGGAGTATTATAATAATAATAATAATAATAATAATAATAATAATAATAATAATAATAATAATAATAATAATAATAATAATAATATTATTATTATTATTATTATTATTATTATTATTATTTATTATTATTATTATAAGAAAAGAAAAAAAAAGAGTCAAAGTGGGGCTGCCACTTTTTGAAAGGCAATAGCCTTTTGTGGGCAGGCTGGTCACGGGCAGAAGTACACGGCAGAAACCGAGAGAGAAAAAAGAGAGGAAACCGAGAGAAGGAAGAAGAGAGAAAAAGAGAGGTGCAGCCTGGTTTTGTGCTCCCATCGACGACCAAACGAACTCCGATCGAGATAGAAATTTTAGTATGTTGTTCTTGAGATCCTCTTCTTCATATCCAACGGTGGGATTGTTATTTTGACCTCTCGATGTCGGTAAAACTGCCTCTGTTTACTGCTGCGTTTTTATTGGGGATTTCTCACTTTTGAGTGAAGATTATTGTTGTTTGGTGTTCCAAGTTATTACTTGATTATTGTGTGTACCTCTAATTGATTTAGAGAGGATTCTTGGTGTACCCACTGATTTTCTTGGTGATTAGTGGAAGGCTTCATGGTTTTCTCCCCGATTTGGGGTTTCCACGTTAAATCTTGGTGTTCGTTTATCGCTTGATTGATTGCTTGTTGTTGTGTTTGCTATTCTTGATTGGTCATATGATTTTGCCCATTTTGACAACACAAAGACGGGAAAATTATTAATTCCTTCCGCTAGAAAATTGAGGTGATTTTCCCAACACTTTTCATATCCTGGATACTCAAAACTGAACTACTCAGAAAAGCACCTAAAGTGTAGCTTACTCCCCTTCGGTTCTGTTAGTCAAACCTGAACTCTCACAAGTAAAACATTAATAGAGACAAAAGTGTTGCAAGACAAAACAATAGACCTTTTTTTAAAGAACATTTGATCTTCAGATCTTTTGCATGTTTTGAATAAAGGCATCTATCTTATCTCAGTTATTTGGGGTAATTGAAAATGGCTCAGAGTTGCATAAAGTCATCTTCTCAGTTACCTTTTTTGCAATTTAATAATCCTAAGTCAGTTCTAAATAAATGTTAATATATAGACTAAGTCAGATAATATCTTACTGTTTAAGTTTAACAGCTAGGTAGATAAATTAGTTAACTTACTCATGATACCTAAAAAACAATTAAACATTATGTTATAGTAGCTACTGTAACAACTAATTAGAAAAGAAAGTTCAATCAAAGCTACCTAAGCCACTAATCAATCAATTTAAGAATTCAAAAGTTAGAGTTAAGTGCAATCAAAGATCCATTATTTAAAAGAAAAACCGACATAGACATCACTTAAAATTCATTAAAAACTACTCACCTATTACATTGACCACTCACTCTAAAACCAAAAGCAAAACTGACTACTAATCCGAAAAGACACAATAAACCTAAACACTAAGCTAGAGTTTGGTAAAGGCTTCAGGACTAACAAAATAAACACTATAAGGATAAAAAACTAAACGAACCAGCAACAGGAAAGACTAACTTTCTCTTTTTTTTAAAAAAATGTGTTTTTCAAATTTTTTTTATTTTAAGTTATATTGAATTGTAAATTTTGTAAATTTCATTTTTAGTTTTTTTTTGTTTGTCAAAGCTTTGAGGTTAGCATTTTATGTTATTCTTGACCTTTTTTGTTGTTTTTTTTTATTTTAAGGTTTTTTTTTTGCTTTTCATGTTTATTATTATTTTTTTCTTTTTATTCCAAACTGGACTGATTTTTTTTCAACTGATTAACATTATTTTCTTCGGTTTCTGATTTTTTTAGGTAGCCGCTTTTTGCTTTTCTTTTGTTTTTGTTATTGTGTTTTTTTTTAACCTTTTTTTTTCCTTTTTCTTTTTCGTGTTTTATTGATTTTTTTTAAGTTTTGTTTTTTTTTTATTTTTTTTTGTTTGTTTTTTTTGAAAATAGCAAACTAAATTCCATAAAAAGTTAATCTTTTCCCGGCAACGGCGCCAAAATTTGATAGGCGTGTCGTACCACCTACAAATTAATTTATAATTTTCCTTAACTTAAATCCCCATTTATGAATTAATATTAATTAAAACATATAGATAGTGTTAGTTCCAAATTGTGTTGGCATTATTTTTTGACAAACGAATATATTTACCTAGAATTATTTTAGATGTTTTATTTAGACTTAGAGTCCTAGCATGTGAAGGAAGAGAAAGAGGAAAGAGCTTGAAGAGAGAATTCTAATCCTTCTTGAATTCTAATCCTACATGGCTTACTATTTTTGAGGAGGAAGGCATGGTTGAGACTCCTAAGCACACTCTAACAAGGTTAATATACTCCATATATTATTTTCTCCATCCCTTAGAGTTTTGTGGGAGAAAAATACGAAACAACTGAAGAAAATCCGAAAAAAGAAAAACAAGGTGCAGAGTTTGATGGGGCAAATATTCTGGACAGCCTGCACGGTTTTGATCATCGCCGGAGATCCGACCGTTGGATTTTGCTGAAATTTTCAGAGAGTGTTCCCAACACATAGGGCCTTGCAGACGTAGGAGAATTTGCCCCGAACTGCGTGAACAATTCTAGTTTCTTGCTTGCTATTTTCACTTTATATTTTACGTGTGTGCTTGTGACAGAGAAGCTGTTATAGCACTCTGTCGGTCATCTATTACTGTGACAGTGCTGCAGCATATTCTCTACAACATAGTTAATTGTTTTGTTTGCATAGCTTGTGTTTGGTGTTATCCGCTGCGCCCCCACGAACTTTCGGAGCGAGAACGATCGCCGCCAACTCTAGATCGTGTGTAGGGTAGTTGCACTCATGCGGCTTCAGCTGCCGAGACGCATAAGCTACAACCTTACCCTCCTGCATAAGAACACACCCTAGGCCATTGTGTGAAGCGTCGCTGTAAACCGTATACTCCACTCCTGGGGTCGGCTGTACCAATACGGGTGCCTGGGTCAAACACTCCTCAGTTTCTCGAAGCTCTGCTGACAAGCCTCGGTCCAGTCAAACTTCACGTCTTTCTTCATTAACTTATGCAACGGTGAAGCTATCCTCGAGAAGTCCTTCACGAATCGGAGATAATACCCTACCAATCCGAGAAAACTCCTCACCTCATGCGCGTTGCGGGGAGTCTTCCACTCTGTGATCGCCGAGATCTTGCATGGGTCCACCTTCACTCCCTCAGCCGAGATGACATGGCCGAGAAAGGTGACCTCGTGCAACCAGAACTCACACTTGGACAGCTTGGCATAGAGTTTCTGCTCTCGTAGGATGCTGAGTACCGTGCGCAGGTGCTCTGTGTGCTCCTCATGCGTCTTGGAGTACACCAGGATATCATCGATGAAAACGACCACAAACTGGTCAAGGTACTTACGGAACACACTGTTCATCAGATCCATGAAGACAGCTGGTGCATTGGTCAAACCAAAAGGCATCACCGTGAACTCATAGTGCGCATAACGGGTGCGGAATGCTGTCTTAGGAATATCCTCCTTCTTGACCGGAATCTGATGGTACCCTGACCGCAGATCAATCTTAGAGAAAACTGTGGCTCCCCTCAACTGGTCGAACAAGTCATCGATGCGAGGAAGAGGATAACGGTTGTTGATGGTGACTTTGTTCAGCTGACGGTAATCGATGCATAGCCTCATCGTACTGTCCTTCTTGTGAACGAACAGGACTGGTGCGCCCCAAGGGGACACACTAGGACGTATGAAACCCTTATCCAAGAGCTCTTGCAGTTGAGCTTTCAGCTCCTTCATCTCTGCCGGGGCCATGCGATAAGGTGTGATGGAGATGGGTCCTGTTCCCGGAACCAAGTCGATAGAGAATTCTACCTCCCTCGGGGGTGGTAGTCCTGGCAGCTCGTCTGGAAATACGTCTGGAAACTCGCACACCGTAGGGATTTCCTCCCGTCCGGGTTCCTCTAGCTGTGTGTCGCGGACTATGCATAGAAAAGCCTCGCATTTCTTGAGTATGAGGCGACGAGCTTGCATATATGAGATGAATTCGGGAGCCTTCGGAAAAAGCTCACCTCGAATCACCACGTCACTACTGTCTTCGGCTTTTAGCCGTACCGTATGTGCGCCACAATCGACAACGGCTTGATTGGCTGTGAGCCAATCCATGCCCAAGATAACATCGAATTCTCGATGTGGGAGCTCGATCAGATTTGCAGGGAAGCTCTTCCCTTGCACAACTAGCGGACAGTCAGGATAGATATATTTGAGACATAGATTGTGTCCCAACGAATTGGACACAATCACCGGATTCTCCAGGTTCTCTCTCGGAATATTAGACGATACAGGCATAGATGTACACAGATATGACAATCAAAGCAGATATGGATGTATCGAATAAGGTGAACATACCCATAATCACATCATGGGCGGGCTGCTGAGTGCGTCCATGCATCGCATAAGTACGGGCTGGAGCCTTCCCGGACTGAGCGCTCTGTGCCGGCCTCTTCGGTTGGCTAGATGCCGCTACCAACTTCTGACTCGGTGCGCGCTAGGCTGCTGGAGCTGAAGTTGCGGTTGCAGGTGCTGTCGGGAACGCCTCACCAGGGTTCGTCGGGCAGTTCCTACGGTAGTGCCCGACCTGTCCACACCCAAGGCATAGGCCCTGAGTGAACCAACACTCGCCGAAATGCCTCCGGCCGCAGAGGTTGCAGGTCGGGTTTCAATACCCACCTTGGCTCTGGTTCTTCCCACTCTTCTGAGTGGGTGCTGATGAAATGGCTGGTGCGGACCTAACCTTCTTGCTCGTGTGCGAGCTGCTCGGTATAGGAGGAGGCCTCTTGCCGCTCGAACTGGGTCTGGGTGGCGGTGGCGGACGAGGATGCGTCGTCTAGGTCTGCTCATATTCGGCCTTCCTGAGTAAGGCCGTCTGTAGCTCCAACGCCTGCTTGTACAAGTCGTTGATGTCGTTCCTAGGCGCCGAAACCAACCCGGAAGACAAGTCAGGACGTAACCCCTCCCTGAAGCGCTTGCACCGCTTCTCCATCGTCGGCACCAAATCCCGGCCGAACTCGGCCAGCTCATCAAACTTCTAGCGATACTCTGGTAGCGTTAGTTCACCTTGGGTGAACTTCATAAATTCGTCGCGCTTCTACTCCATGAAGTGCTCGGGAACATACTCCTCACGGAAGAGCTCATCGAAGGTTGCCCACGGCACCGGCTCCTGAACGTTCGCTCCCGCGCGCTTCCACCAGTCGTAGGCGGCATCCTAAAGTAAGGCGATGGCTAAATTGCCTCTGTGCTCCCTTGGAACCCGTAGGGTTCTGAGAACTCGACCTGTGCGCTCGAGCCAGCGCTTACCAACCATGGGATCGGCGATCTGGTCGCCACGGAACTCCTCGGCCCCGTTCTTCTTCAACTTCTCGATAGTAACCACAACCAGCGGAGGCGGCGGAGGTACGTACGCCCCAGCCATCTGCTGGAGGAACTTTAGCATAATGGCCGCCAGCTGCGGCTGTAGGAAAGGGATAGCCTGAGGTACAACATTTGGTTGCGGACCCTGCGGCTCCGGGACCTCCTGCTGCGGGGTGAAGCTGGACGCCTCGGTATGCACGCTCACGGGCTCTTGCTCCCCATGCGGGCCAGCTTGTCCGTGTTCGGGAGCCTGAATCATCTCCTTTCTGAAAGGAGATTTCCTATACGGGTTAAGCAATAATAATAATAATACCTAAATGATAATGGTTACCTTTCCCGGTGGAGATACGGAGCGGGATGCAACAGTGGGTCCTAGAGGAAATGTTTTCAAAACGTGTTTCTCTGATACCAAAATGTAACACCCTCCGTCCCGCGAACCCGGTTCACCGCGCTCCAACGAGCCGGAGAGGTCACTTAGACGGTTTTTAGGACCGTCTACAAAGAAAACTCCTTGCGTTGCTTGTAACTGAAAACCCTTGTTATATTTTATTAAATGATGAAAATGAATTCACTTAAAGAAATGTTTATAGCGGAAGTAATGTAGATGAAACCATTAAGTCATAAATAACGTAAGTGCGACAAAGGTGGGTTCATGCCCAAAACGTTTCTCATAATTAAGTAAATAATTCATACGATGGGCCCGCGGAAGAGGCGCACTGGGCCTGACCCCCCTTGTCGTGGTATGCAACGTATGCCATGATTCTAAACATGCGTCTAGGATATACATGATGGTATGAATGCATTGATTGGAGAATGAAGTTATATTCAACACATACAAATATATTTGATTCCATATGAAAACAACTTGTCCAACATGGCGGACCTGGGTTCAGAACTGGCTGATAATCGATTAACCACAGCTGATAATCGATTATCATGTTGTGCAGTTTCTGTTCCCAAGTTCCGCAGGCCATGATAGTCGATTGTCTTCTCATGACAATCGATTGTCAAGTATCTTGTTCAGGACACCCAAGTTCAGAGGGGCCTGATAATCGATTATAGCTATGTGATAATCGATTATCAGTAAAACCAGCCCAGACTTGAGATTTTGCAGGGCCTGATAGTCGATTATCACATATGTGATAATCGATTATCACGCTCTGCCGATTCCAACGCGAAGTTCAGCGCATCGTGATAATCGATTGACCAGCTCTGTAAATCGATTATCACGGCTTGCAGCTCCACGTTTAGCCAGTTTGAATATAGTCTTTACGTCGGAAGTCATCGGGATGAACGTTATTGCTTTCACTTTGAATAAGCTATGAAATTATGGATTATCAAACGTTCATATTAGCGAGGTTATAATCGAAAAAGTCTAGTTAACGAATGACTATGATAGTGCGGACACACGTATGTTTACCCGGGTAATCCTATGAATATAACGATGTGATTACACTACGAATTCTAAAGTTAGAGGGCAACGTACTCACCTCCAAACGTAGAGGTTAACGATCACGGTAGCAGATGAATGAACGGCTAACGAACGGACAACGAACGGACAACGAATGTTATGACGTGATTAAATAATTTTTCTAAGGAGTTTATTTTCCAAACCCCGGTCCGAGTTAGTAATTAATTAATTAAATTAATCAATTCTAATAGACCGGGTCTCAGGGCATTACAGTTATCCACCCCTTAAGAAAATTTCGTCCTCGAAATTTACCTGATCATTGGTCATTGAAAAGATGGGGATAACGGGTGCGCATGGATTCCTCGGTTTCCCATGTCGCCTCCTCGGCGGTGTGACTTCTCCACAGAACCTTGACTAACGGAATGGTTTTGTTCCTCAACTGACGGATCTCCCGAGCCAGAATCTCCACCGGCTCCTCCTCATATGTAAGGTTCTCGTCGAGAGTGACCGTATCTGCTGGGATCATGTGTGAAGGGTCTGACCGGTACCTCCGGAGCATAGACACGTGGAATACATTGTGAATCTTGCTCAACTCGGATGGTAATTCGAGCCTGTAGGCCACAGGTCCCACCCGTTCGATGATTGGGCATGGGCCTATAAACCTCGGACTAAGTTTTCCCTTCTTGCCGAAACGCAAAACATTCTTCCAAGGAGATACCTTCAAGAAAACCTTATCTCCTACCGCATACTCGATGTCGCGTCTCTTAAGGTCGGCGTAGGACTTCTGTCGGTCCAATGCCTCCTTAAGCCGGTCCTTAATCACCTGGACCTTTTCCTCAGTCTCGCAAACTAAATCTGGTCCTTCCAACTTCCTCTTGCTGAGCTCCGTCCAGCAAGTAGGAGTCCGACACGGCCTGCCGTACAGAGCCTCGTACGGCGCCATGCCAATTCTAGCCTGATAGCTGTTGTTGTACGCGAACTCCATCAACGGTAGATATCGCTCCCAACAATCCCCGAAGTCGATCGCGCAGGCGCGCATCATATCCTCGAGGATCTGGATAACCCTCTTGGACTGACCATCCGTCTGTGGGTGGAAGGCCGTACTGAAGTGAAGGTCAGAGCCCAAGGCTTTCTGTAGGCTCTTCCAGAACTGCGATGTAAAATGCGGGTCACGGTCCGAGATGATAGATGAGAGAACTCCATGTAACCGGATGATCTCGCGGATGTATAGCTCCGCCAGACGCTGTAAAGAGAAATCTTGTCGTATCGGAAGGAAATGGGCAGACTTAGTCAAACGGTCCACAATGACCCAAACCGAATCGTTCTTGCGAGGCGACAAAGGTAGCCCCACTACGAAGTCCATGGTGATACGATCCCACTTCCACTCGGAAATCGTAATCTGCTAAAGTAGTCCGCTCGGTATCTGATGCTCAGCCTTAACCTGTTGGCACGTCAAGCATCGCGCCGTAAACTCTGTGATCTCTCTCTTCATCGCAGGCCACCAGTAATGCTTCCGGAGGTCCTGGAACATCTTGTTGCTACCGGGATGCATGGTATATACCGTTCCGTGTGCCTCACGAAGGAGTCGTTCCCTCACTTCCCCCGCTGGCACCACCACACGATCTCGATAAAGCAAGACTCCATCCTCTCGTACGGAGAAATCGGGTTTCTCGCCCCGAGAGGCGAGCTCACAAGTCTGCTTGCAGAAGTCGTCGCTGCTCTGTGCTGTCTCAATCTCATCGAGTAATGTAGGCTGAACTCGGAGTACGGCTAGAGTTTTGCGACTAAGGGCATCGGCCACCACATTTGCCTTACCAGGGTGACAAGCGATATGACAGTCGTAGTCCTTAATCAACTCCAACCATCTCCGCTGTCGTAGATTCAAATCCTTCTGACTCAAAAGATACTGCAGACTTTTATGATCGGTGAAGATACGCGTTGTCTCGCCGTACAGATAATGTCGTGGTATGCAACGTATGCCATGATCCTAAACATGCGTCTAGGATATACATGATGGTATGAATGCATTGATTGGAGAATGAAGTTATATTCAACACATACAAATATATTTGATTCCATATGAAAACAACTTGTCCAACATGGCGGACCTGGGTTCAGAACTGGCTGATAATCGATTAACCACAGCTGATAATCGATTATCATGTTGTGCAGTTTTTGTTCCCAAGTTCCGCAGGCCATGAGAGTCGATTGTCTTCTCATGACAATCGATTGTCAAGTATCTTGTTCAGGACACCCAAGTTCAGAGGGGCCTGATAATCGATTATAGCTATGTGATAATCGATTATCAGTAAAACCAGCCCAGACTTGAGATTCTGCAGGGCCTGATAGTCGATTATCACATATGTGATAATCGATTATCACGCTCTGCCGATTCCAACGCGAAGTTCAACGCAGCGTGATAATCGATTGACCAGCTCTGTAAATCGTTTATCATGGCTTGCAGCTCCACGTTTAGCCAGTTTGAATATAGTCTTTACGTCGGAAGTCATCGGGATGAACGTTATTGCTTTCACTTTGAATAAGCTATGAAATTATGGATTATCAAACGTTCATATTAGCGAGGTTATAATCGAAAAAGTCTAGTTAACGAATGACTATGATAATGCAGACACACGTATGTTTAGCCGGGTAATCCTATGAATATAACGATGTGATTACACTACGAATTCTAAAGTTAGAGGGCAACGTACTCACCTCCAAACGTAGAGGTTAACGATAACGGTAGCGGATGAATGAACGGCTAACGAACGGACAACAAATGGACAACAAACGGATAGCTTCTCGCGTGAACTTCTCCTTCTCCTCCTCTTCCTTCCCCCCTCATCTCAGCGCCGGAACACCTCGCTTGCTGTTGCTGCTTGGCCGAACAAAGCAAGGGAGAAGGGAGTGGTGTGTGTGAATACTTGGGAGTTACAAATGATGGGAAAATGAAGAGGAGAGGGAGAATTATATTGAAAATGGGAATTAATGGGGAAATCATGATGGGGGTTAGGGGAGGTGAAGATGGCATGTGGATTGAATGGGGAGGTTACCTCCCTTAAATAATTCCGTTATGTAAAAGCTGACTTGAATGGTACGCGCTTTTTCCCCCGATCAGGTCCGAATTGAGATCCGTTTGCGTTTTTGGAATCAGACAGTCAAGACGAATGTTATGACGTGATTAAATAATTTTTCTAATGAGTTTATTTTCCCAACCCCGGTCCGAGTTAGTAATTAATTAATTAAATTAGTCAATTCTAATAAACCGGGTCTCAGGGCGTTACACAAGCGATGATGATGAGATCAAGCTTGTCATGAAGAAGTTCTGTAAACTTATAAGGAAGAAAGAAAATAATGAGGATGGCCTTGTATGCTACGGATGTGGTGAAGTCGGGCATGTCAAGAACAAATGCCCAAAAGGTGGAAGGAATGGACGTCGTTTCAACAAGAAAAGGGCCTACATCTCTTGGGGTGGTGATTTGGGAGATGAATCCACCGACGAGGAAGAAGAGGAAGTCACCAACTTATGTCTCATGGCGCACAAAGAAGTATCTCCCACGATCCTCAACAAACAAGAGGTATGTACCACTTCTTCTAGCTCTTATTCTTTTGAAGAATTACAAGACACCTTTGAAGAACTTTATATGCAAATACGTTTATTGTTATATAGATTTATGCCAAATTTTGTTCTTGATCTATTAAAGTTCCGTAAGAGAACAACGAGGATAAGAAGACGTTATGAAATTGAGCGATTACACAAAGGCTAAATGGATGTTTGACTCAAACATAAACAATAAGGATTTTGGAAATGAAAGTAGTAGAACGGTCAGATTATGATGAATGTGGTTAGGCTTGAGGAAATACCGTTGGATACTGTAATAGCATCACTTGATACATATAGGTGCACAAATTTGTCATGTGAATGAACAAGTTAGGAAACACCTAGACTACATTTAGACGATTACAAGAACACGTAATCCATGCCCAAATATATATGTTTTGCATGTATGAACGTATGTGTATTTGTTGTTCAATATGCTCAACTACTTGACATGACCTACGTTGAATTTGTATGATTGTAGTCCCTCGTTATAAGATTGTGGTATGAAACTCGTTAAAAGAAATCACCTAGAAATCCGCTGGAATGAATACATAGATATATTGGTAAATATTAAATGTTTATTATAATTTTCAAGAGGTTGAATACAAATGGACGGACCAAAGTAGGAACCCGGGTACCATGATAATCGATTATCAGGTTCTGATAGTTGACTATCTAGACTCGCTGTATATTCTGTTTGGCAGCAGAAGCCTTGATAATCGATTATCACCAAGTGATAATCCACTATCAAGGGATGCTGAACTTTGGGCTCCAAATCTTGATAATCGATTATCACCACTTGATAATCGATTACCACGTACTGCTGAACTTCGAGCAAGGTCCAAAATCAAAGGGTTTTCAAGGTAAGAATCAATAATTGAAATATTGGTATATGGATTAAAAACCAATACTTAGTTTTCAAAATAAGGCCTTCGAGGTCATAAGTCATGCAAAATATAGGAATCACTCATATCATGGCATTACGTCACACATGTTGTAGACGCATGATGTAGGAATCATTCATATCATGGCATATCCGCCTAAGAGGTCAGGCCTAGTACGCCTCTTATAGCAGGTCCGTCCAGGAGCCTTCGGGTCCAACGGGTTTCATTTGGAGGGCTTGTGTACGTACATGGTAACTAAGTTTCAGTTACCACCCATTATTTCTAGTCTCGACAAGAGACTAAAGTTTGCCCGAGTCGTCACCGTTGTGGGATGACATCGGAGCACAGGGGGTCCCTGCATAGTCTAACTCGTGCATCATATTTCATGTAATCATTATGAGGTTCCTGCACTCTAAGTACAGGTATGGAACATTTGGTCAATATGTGAACCATTTGGTCGTTATGAGATTCATGTCATTCATATTGTTCCACCATCATGAATAAACATCTTGATTATAGCTATGGGCGACTCGGATTTGTGCAAAACATACTACACTTCATATCCAACATCGTTGACAACAAGGCTAAGGTATTTATATTTGGATAACTTTCTAAAATGAATCTCCTTAATATGTATACGTCTACCTTATATCTTGTGCTACCTACTATGCAACCATTAAAATTATGTGGCCAATGTGATTCATGGTATTTAAGTATAAATATGTCATCGATCTCTCGCGTTATCGTACCACTCAGCATCATGCTGAGCGTGTAGTCTTTTGTCTACACGTAGGTTGAATCACAGATTATGTGAACCACCCGGAGGACAAAGAGACGATAGGATGGCAGGTTGACATGCATGATTTTCACAAGTATTGCATTTGAAGTTATGGGTTTGACCCACATCATTGTATTTGTATTATTTAAGTCTTCCGCTATCTCCGACATTTGTAAAGGATCGATTCAAATTTAATATGTTGTATTTTGAAGTTTTATTTTATGAATTTTATTTAATGATTTAGAAAAGTTTTAAAAATATTTCTCCTGTTTCACCTTAATTTATATAATTCCGGGTTATACGAATTTGGGTGTTACATTTCATCTATGTTACTAGAGCGCCTACTCTATGGACTAAAGTCATGTTTAAATCACACGAGACGACTTAAACAATCTTTAGGGCCTATTGTTTTTGATATAATATAGATATGGAACCATAAGTCGGCCTCTAGGGCTCACTTATATTCAACACATGATTGATTGGTATCAAAAATAGGCTTTAATAGTTCAAAAATTGGGTTTTCTAGAAAAATATCAAATCGGACAGCTTAGGTGATCGGTCCACCACATGTGATCGATCACCACGTGATCGATCCACTTCCTATGCTCGATCACCTGAAAGTGTTTCTCGGGTGTTTCCATTCACTGTTCATCGTCTCCTACCTTTAGCCACTTTTCTCTAACTTCATGTTAGGTCACCAATCTTTAAATAAATTATAAAGAAATGTTCTCCAAAGTTCGTAGATCATTTTGGTATCATTAGTTCGTAGTTTTAACAACAATTTCAAGATTTATGATTCTTGATTCTTCAAATATGTCAAACACAAAACTCAACCAAACGACTGTTTATGAACGTAGTAACGATCTATACGAACATTCTAATCACTAGATATATCTACGGGCTTACCTTAGAGCTTAACGATGATTCTGGTGATTAAACAGCAAAACTTCCGGCAAGGTTTGTGGCTAGCTCCGGTGACTTCGGCGGCCACCAACTATTGCAGCATATTCTCCTCACTTTCACGAACACATTGGTACTAAACTTATAATTTTTGATGAAGAATGAGAAGGGTTGAGCATTCTTTATATAGAAAAAGAGAAGAGGAAGAATAGACATGCTGAGTCAAACTACTAATTCACGATCGGCGAATTTCCTTAGTGCACTGGGCTGCGATTGAGTTCCGATCATACATGTCGTTTCCTGATTTGGACTAATTTGGTTCCAGTCGGGGTACACTTTTTGGTCCAACTTTCTCCGAATTGAAATATATTTGCACCATTGTGATCAGACAGTCAAACTCTATCTAACGATATACTTTTTATATTTATTTGGAATACTTTTTCGGACATCATATTTTTGGGAATTTGACTTTGATAGAGTCAAAATTGATTTAATTGACCTTTATTCAAAAATGTTCTAATATTTAATTCATATTATTTATTCTCATGATTTATTTCAATAAATCATTTCAAAGTTCAAATAATAAACAAATCCTTTCTTAATTTGGGTCTGTACTCTGATTCCCAATTAAGATCACACAAATAGTCAATATATTGGATTTATCTCTATGAGATTTATCTAGATTGTGATATTGGATATCAAAACATATTTCATTTCGGCCCAAAGCCCAACAATAATTTATTTTAATCAAAACAAATTTGATTAATTTGAATAATAATTCAATAATAATTTTAGGGTATATTTTGGGGCGTTACAATTTTTATCGTTTTCCTTCATCAAAAATTTCTGTGATTCTTTAGTAAATAATTTGCTTGTGTAGCGCATGGGTACGAGTCTAGTTTATAACTAAAATTGAAAAAAAATGCATGGACTAATTAACAACAAAATTTAAGGAATGACAAACAATGCAATGCTAACGTGACTTGAAAGACTATTCGTGGAATTTTCAAAGTTGAAGGACTAATTGTGCATAACGTTATAACTTAAATGACCAACGGTGGACTTTAGCCAAATAATTACTTGGCACGAAAATGAAAAAACATAAAATTATATAATTAAAAATGATGCAGAGGAGAGAAAAATTATAATGACTACAAATTTATTTTATAAAAGTAAAAAAAACAAGACCTTTTTGGAACAGGCGAAACAAAAGCAAATCCTTTTTATGAGACAGAGTGAGTACTACGTATCTTTTCCCTTTTAAATGGAGCCTTTTTATGAGACGAAGTGAGTACTATATTTTACAAGTACATTATATTGATATATGTTGTCCACAAGTGGACTCGATCAGTGGTGGATCACGAATTGAGCTATATGGGGACACCATTGTTAGGCGGTCTGGGGGCATCGCCCCCAACTTTTTTTGATAGACTGTATGAAGTGGAAAAAAATTAAATTTTATTTCAAATATTTATTCTATGTAAAACATTTTTAAATAGGTAATGTGAAATTAGATTTTATAAATAAATAATTATATGCAATAAAATATATTTTACAAAAATTAAACAAAAAAATTAAATTTGACCTAAATGGATGGGCCACATTAATTTCTGATGGACGCACATATACATAAAATTTTTAATTTTTTTAACCTTATTATAAAAAATTAGTTGGGGACATTTACCCGCTATGGACATCTACTCCATAGTGGTGGATCCCACCACTGGGCTCGATGGATCGGACGACATTATCTTAGAATCCCAATTCTATAGCTTTGAATTCTTCCAAGTCTAATTAGATCCTTATGTGACCAGTAGCCAAGCAGAGAGGAACTTTAGCAACGTCAAGCTCATGCTATGCTACAGATGGTCCATGTTCTGACTCAACTCATTCTCGGCTGAGTACCGAGGTACGGGTGCTCCTTCAGGGGTTCGGTACTAAGGCCGAGTGCCGAGCTAGTGACACCCAAATCATTAGTTCAAATTATGGGTTTGCGCCTCCCAACTGGACTCTGAGTTGTAATAGGGAAAGATACCCCTTGTCCGGCAAATTATATGGTACATTCAGTTGTACCTTCCTTTAGGTACATCCTGGTATTTTTGTAAATTTTGCAAATTTTTTTATCTAATGTCATGAACATATATGAGAACTATTATATATGACAATGAGTACTAGCAGATTTGAGAAAGAGTACCAGCACTTATGAGAATTATCACATTTTTATTGAATACAAACATGAATAAACCTGGGTTTTAAATTCTCCATACTCAGAGAGTATAAATGAGTAGGAACGAATCGAACAGAGGAAGAAGTTGATAATGGTACTAAACTTTTTAATTGTGAAAAAATTGAACAATACTTTATTTCAGAATGAAGATTTCCTTATTTGAGAATGAGTATTGTTTTTTAAAGAATGAACACTACGCTATTTATTATAATTATATTAGATAAATGTGTAAAAATGAGTACTTCTTTATTTTAAAATGAGTACTACCTTTGCCAAAATGAGTACTGCGTATTTCGAAATGAATATTTATATTTGTACGAGAATGAGTACTACTTTATTTCAGATTGAGTACTACCGGGATGTACCTATTTCTAGGTACATCCGGAATACCAACTCCCCTTGTCCAGGGCAAACTTAGACGTGGTGACCGTGCCAAGTCAAAAACTTATTTTTAAATATTTAATAATGAATAAATTACTGAACTTACTTTGATGTGTGAATAAGAGTTGAATTTATTTAATTTTGAGAATAACTATTTTTTAAATAAACACTAAAATGGCCATATTAGATAACACCTCTATCCCCCGCCCCCTCTAGAGATGCGCATTAAGTCTAACATTTTTGTTACTTATTTTATAAAATAACATAAATTAAATCACCTTTGATTCATAGAACTTTTAATGTAGTTTTAAAATATATAACTTTTAGTTTTTTAATATCATACCAATTTTGAAATAAATTATACTCCCTCCGTCCATAAAAGAATTTCCCGGTTTGACCAGGCACGCATATTAATGTGTGATAAAATTTGCTTTGACTTTCCTATTATACCCCTGTCCCCTCCCCTGCAACTTTAGATCTACAGTAAGCCAACTCTAATTGCCAACCCCACCACCGGCAATTCTTTGCCACCGCCAACAACTCTCCAACATCGCCGCCGCCAACTTTCCGGCACCACCGGATGACCTCTCTGATTCTTCTTGCCGCCATCCCCTCCGTAATCCCCCTCCCTCGTAGATCTGTTCTAGATCTGTTTAGTATTAATTCGAGTTTTGACAGAGAGAGGCGAGGCTAGGTGTAATGGAGATTTTGTAGATCTATGGAATCGATGGCGCCTATGTCGGAAGAGGAGCAGATCTGACCGTTGGGCACCTCCGACCACCGCCTCACTATTTCGCTGCTCGTACGTGATGGGACAAATCCGAAGGGGGGGGGGAATGAAAGAAGAAGAAAAGAGAAAAGAACAAAGAAGAAGAAAAAAGAGAAGAAGAGAAAGATGAAGAAAAGAACAGAACGAGGAACTGAAGAAAAAGAACAGAGAAAAAAATTGTAGAGGGAGTGGGTGGATCAAAAAGGGAAAGGAAGAAAGAAAAAAAAGAGAAGAAAAGAAGAGAGAGAGAGGATGTGTGGACCGTGGATCGAGAGAGGATTAGAGGAAGAAGAAAAAAGATAGGGAGTAAGAAAGAGAGTAGGGTGAGGGTAATGAGGTCTTTTTGGCATTAAAAAGTTTCCAAAAAAGGAAACGGAAAGTTTATTTGTGGACGAACGAAAAAGGAAAGTGGGAAGTTTTTTTATGGACGGAGGGAGTATTGAAAAAGGATTCAATCGAAACAAACGAGCACTTAAATTAGGATGGAGAAAGTACTCTTTTTCCTCAATTGTAATTTTTCCCCCTAATTTTTTCACATTTCAGTTTTTAATGAGTCAATAATTACTCATATGAAGATGAACATTAAAGAGAGTGTGGTAAAGTTATCTAAATGACAAGTATGAGTTGGTGTAAATCTTACAGAGTACATCTTTGTAAACGGTATGACCAAATCGATCATAGTTTTCAAAACATAATCATTGACTGAATCAATCAAAACATTAGCTCACTAATTCACCAGTCTGAATTGATCAAAACATTAGCTCACTAATTCACCAGTCGAACCAGTGGTCCAAGTGGTGGTGGAACCAATTGTTCAAATATATTTGAAAAGTTGTATATGTATGTTAAGCGAGTTTGTAATAAAAAAACATTTTGGCGTAGTTCGTGAATTTCTTAACTTGATATCTAAGGAGTCTAGTATTCAAATCCTAATGTGGACATAAGACTTTTTGAACACATATGTTGACTCATCTATAGCATCATATCCACACCAAGCCATCACAATATAAATAGAGGCTTGAATGCTTGACTTTCTAGAGACCGCACAAAATAATTTGCTTATTTCGGTGAAATAAGCATGTGAATTGCTATGTTTTCAACTACTAAGAATACTAAGCAAATCAACACTACCAAACGGGACCTTAAACCACAAACAAACAG